AAAAGAATATAACAAACCTGACTGGAATTGAAACTCAGCTCTTCGATTTCCAGCTGAGACATTTTTCATTACACGACCCACACATCCAAGCTTACAGAATCTGGTATTCCCCAGTGGTCACTCATTTAGTTACTGACCAGGCTTGACATTGCCTAACTTTGGTGATTGTACAAAAATCACTCAAAATTTTAATAAAAGATTATATGAACACAAAAGAGTTCTTTTACAAAACAAAACACCCAATGCATCAGTTGTTTACTGTAATAAGTCTGACCATAATTTCAATTTAAAAAAATGTTGTTTTAATTACAAGAGAAAACATTTACAAAAGTGTATAGAAAGTGATTTCATTGCTAGATCATCCACTTTAAATTTGCATTCAGGTCCTTATAACATTTCATCTTTCATGGCAGATTTTCTATTATCAAAATTTGATGTGATAAAAATAAAAGCACACAGAAACTGAATGAAATCAACTAAACATGCCCAGACATGTCTTTGGGGACTTCGACATAGTGTAATGGTTAGTAAGCTTGTGAATTTGATCCTCACTGGGTTCTCTTCATATTTTTGTCTTTGTGCACATCTAAGCTACACCCAGAAAATCTCTATACCCAGACATGTCTGAAAAAAATAAAAAATAAAAATGTTTTTTTCAATTTCAGTGTTCTAACATCTTCAGCGGTTTTGTTGATTCATAATTATAATGGAGGTTTGCACATCCCCTCTTTTATCACCCCCCTCCTACACCTACATAATTCCATCAACAAAAACGTTTCTTTAGTCCGATGAAGCCCACCTACAGGACAAAAAGTTTTACACAAAATTTTTCCTACTTTGTCATTTGCTTGCCCAATATTGTTCTGATATATAGAAACTTGCATATATTCTCACACGCACAATGGAAGGGTTTATGGTTATTCCAATGAGAGAAAAGTGTGTATTTTGAACAGAGAAGAAGCCACAAACATTTTTTTACAATAATGTGGATTTTATTTAGATTCTATATATATATATATATATATATATATATATATATATATATATATATATATATATATATATAGAGAGAGAGAGAGAGAGAATAAAATATTTTTTAAAAAATCCATATATTTTATATATATATATATATATATATATAAAAATCCACTTTATATATATATATATATATATATATATATATAAAAAATCCAATATATATATATATATATATATATATATATATATATATATACACACACACACACACACACACACACACACACACACAGTGAGAATATTATCATTCTGACCATAAGATTTGGAATTTAGACGCTATGACATGGTGTAATGGTTAGCAAGCAATTGCGGGTAAATCAGTTACAACCCATCCATAGAGAGTGACAAAATGCCAGTCAGTTACAAGTCAGCTATTAGGAAGTGATAAGGCACCCATTGAGATGCAAAGAGGCAGAGTCATGGTTAGAGAAGGAAACCAGCCATTAGGGAGTGTGACAGTTGCAGTCTGAGACTGGCAGAGGCGTGGTTGGAGGGAAGATCTGGTCAGTCTGTCATGACAGAAGACAGAAGTAGCATCAAAAATGTCTCAAGAGTCAACTACCTACTCCCAAACCAAGATAGGCAAATCCATGAATCAATAATCAAAATTATTGGAAACAGATTTTGTGTTTTCCGTTCTTGCTATGGTGTTATTTCACCTTTTATTCTCCTGTGAATGCCCATTGAGGCTTTGCAAGTTTTTGTTCACACCGACGCAGATTGGAATTAAAATACATGGGATTTGTCCAGTCATTGAAAATACAAGACCCACCCCACAACTGTATGTCTACTGAAATACTTATTTATAAAAATGGGTTAGGCTTATAACTTTTCAGCACACCCTTATACTATGTGTGTGTGTGTGTGTGCGTGTGGCACAAGGCCACATTTATTGTGGACTCATTCAGGTTGGGTAATAGTGGTTTGGAATGAGACATTGAAGGGCTAAGTTCAAATTCCAATTGGGTTTGTTACATTCACTTATAAACAAATACCCTTGGAAAAAGTATGGATCTCACTCTTCCTCCTGGCTATGGGTTAAATAGTAGTATCTAGAAAAATCATTGTTATTCACAAAAATGTTATTGCAATATTTACTCATAAAAAATTTTTTTAAAAATCCAAAATATTTCTAAAGAAGTAGTGGATTTTTATTTATTACATTATTTTTAGTGCTTATATTTGAATAGAAACTATGTTTAATATTGATATTCATTAAAAATGTCAAATAAAATCTGTCTGCTTAATAAGTAAAAATCTATTGTTACTTTAGAAATTGCTTTGTTTACGTTAGGATACAAAATGGAGCAGATGTTTCAAAAGTCTGAGAAAAGATTTGCATTTTTAAGGCAATATTCAACTTTGCTTGATTGACAATGCACTCCCTAAGCTGAATCTGCTTAAAGCATATCGGTTTCTCCTGCCAAGGTGGACACAGGTTAGGATACTGCTGAAGAGCGCATATTTTTCTTTGATAAAATTTCTCACATTTCAGGCCTGTAGATGAAAATAATGAAAAATGGAGCATCTAATCAAATATGGGTGTCCACTAAAATAAATATTTAAGTAAAAAAACATCAAAAATATGTTTTGACATTAAATGACCCACAAAGGTTCTTTTTTGTTTTTTTTTGTTTTTGTTTTTTTTAAATTCAATTATCAGCAAATATTTTTCCTAAATTCTAAAACTGATCATCAATGAACTTTTTTTTTTTTTGTTTTTTTTTTCAAAACGACTTTGCTGGGTGTTAATTTTCAAATATTCCCCCACCCCCACCGAACTATAATTATAAACTTTCTCGGTATCATTATCTAGATTTACTTTCTACTTAAAGCTGATGTCAATGTCCCTAATTATGTAGAAATAGAGACAACAAAGAGAGCCAAGAAGAGAAAATGATTGATAATTACTTAACTAATCTGACAACTTGTTCTACTAGGCAAGAAAGAATCAGCAGCAGCAGGATAACTCAGTCATGTCCAACAGATCTATTTATAGAACAGAAACACCAACAAAAGACTACAAAAGCTGATCTGCTGTGAAATATAGAAGACATCAATTTAAGTTTCTTCTGTTTAACCATCGAACAAGTTGGACTGGAATTTCAATAGCAAGATGTCTGGGATGATGAGTATGGTGGCAGAAGTGGTAGAAACAGAAAATAATATGTGTTGGTAAACAAAAGACATAATAATAATAATATACAAAATATTTTTTATTGGAAGTGAGTGAAAAAAAATTATCATAGGTTTCCTGATATTTTTTTTTTCAATTCAGTTGATTGAAAACAAATGTAAAATTCAACACAGAGTGATGGTTCAACAATAGATCTTAAATTTTGTCGACAAAGTTTGAACATTTTCATCATGTAGCTCCTAAGAAGACAAAACTAAACCCAGAAAAAAGTAAACAATCTAAAAAGATTTATAAATGTGTATGATAGATTGGGGATTTTATAAGTATGACTAAGTATAAAATTGTTGTTCTAGAAAACAATATGTAATGAAAGTCTTATGTATCTAATAAATCTTTTTGCCTCTAATATATTTTGCAGATTTTATGTGATGTTACCTTCTGTTTTGTTTTGACAAACACTGTATAACCAATAATATTCATATAACATGCTGTGTTAAAATTCAAAATTAGAAACACGATAGACAAAATTTTAACATAAAATAAGAGAAAATGTCAAAGTGAAATACCTTTTATCTTGGTTTGTATTTGAGCAATAAAATACAAAAGCCTCAATATTATATGGACTCTTCTACAACATATATAAAAAATGCCAAAATGCATTTTAACTTTAAATTTTGCAAAGAAACAAATAGTCCTTTATGATAAAATACTGACTGCTATTTTGACTGTCACTACCAAACTCAAGGAATAAACTTCTGACCACAAGGCAACAAGATGCATTTAACAAAAGCTTCTATTTAATAAAACATTCAAGTTGTGCAATTATTTAGACTTAAACCTAATGATTATTCATTCCAAGAAAAGCAAAAGTGACACCCCAATATCTCCTAGAACAAGAACAACTTACCTCCAGTGACTGAACAAGGACAACCTACCTCCAGCGACTGAACAAGGACAACCTACCTCCAGCGACTGAACAAGGACAACCTACCTCCAGCGACTGAACAAGGACAACCTACCTCCAATCTATCTTCAAGGTTTAAATATAGGCTTTGGTTCAAAATTCCAAGAAGATTATCCAATGTAGCAGGCTGGAAAGTCTAATGGCCAAAATGTTATAACTAAAACAGCTAAGACAAGGACACTAATCTGTATAGCTTAATGTATAACAATGATAATTCTTCATCTCAGAAATTAATTGAAAAATGATGAACCATTGTGTAGTTTGGTATGCTTTCTTTTCTTCAGTTACTCTTAGATTCTGTCTCACTTGTATACAGGCACAGAAAAATGAATGGTCACTAGTTATGTTTTCTTCTCTCTCTTTATTGTCTGGTCATTTGAACAGGATTAGAAGTTTATCCCTCATTTCCTTTTTAGGATTTGGTTTCTGGTTCTTTCTCCTAAAGTCTACTTCAACTCTATACTCCTAACCTCAGAAATTTATTTACTCCCCACCCCCACTCAAAAGGAGTAGATAAGTTCATCTCTCGTTTGGTTCAGATCTCTCCCCAGTCTCTTGAACAGTTGTAGAGGTTTCTCACTAGTTTCCTGTTCAGGATTAGGTTTCTGGTTCCTTCTAAAGTCATTTTCATTCTATTTCACTTCCAGTAGCCACTTGCATCTTAATGGCATTATTGGCTTGCTTGGGATGAATTGATTTAAAAAAAAAAAAAAAAAAAAATTGTGTGACTACTTTCTATAATTCCTTTGGTCCCACTTCACATATCACACAGGTCTTGTAAACACTTTTTCTTCCCTCACTCCATGAGCTTCAACCAGTATGCACTGTAAATTAAAATGTTTTTAAAATCAGCTGACCTACCTGCAGTTTAATTTGACTCACTTTCTCAATAAGAAGTTTCTCCTTCAACTGCAAGATTTCATACTCTAAGAATGAAAGAAAAAGGAAAACAAAATGATTGGTAGTGTTGTAGCAACAGAAGTATCAACAACAGGGTAACAGAAAAACAGATTTGCCACCAACAAATCATTGTTTCAATCAATGCAACATTTCTGATCTGGTTGAAAATTTTAAAATATCTGATATTCAAAATTTCATTAACAACTTCAGACTTATTTTATCAAGTTGGAATTTGAAAACTTCTGGAAGGTTGGCATAGGATCATAGAAAACAAAGGAAAATATTTAATTGATGATTAATGAATATTGGTATTACTTATTAGTATATAGTATTAGTGTAATGGTTAGTAAATCAGAAAGACAGCTTAGCTTATTATGCTCACTTTTCCACAAATGCCATTGTGAAAAGTATAAATGCATTTTTCTGCCCCTATATATGGGTTAAATATCAGAGCTGACTGAAATCTCTTGCTTAAAGTTGGTAACTAGTCTAGCAGAAGGAAAACTCAAAACCAGCCTGCCCTACATACTACTGGCTGCTGGATATGTAGTGTCCCTTAGACCCTGGTGGGTTACAGGACTCATGATATAACATGACTAATTATAATTATTAAGTAATTTTAATAAAAAAAAATTCCTCAAAACTTTCACATATACCTATGTTGTACTCAGATACAAACAAATAAACATTTTTATTCATATAAATTCTATTCTAGCAAAATGTACACACTGAGGATGAAATATTCGTCAATTCAAGCAGTAAAGGATGGGCAAGTGTTTTATGGCCAAAGTCAATAGGCTAATAGAAAATCATGGCATGATTTTTCCTGTAAATACAACTCGTGACTGAGAAAGAAAGCTCAATAAAGGTTCACTGTAAAAATGGTATACTGAATATATATATATATATATATATATAATAATCGTGCATAAGACAACTTCATGTATAGTGCAACCCCTAATTTTTTTCATGAATAGAAAAAAATTTACTTGTGTATTACACAAGTGGTCACTTAAAATACATGATTTTTAACCTCTTCAAAAAAAAAAAATTACTTGTGTATAGTGTGACCCCACCCTTTATATTTTTCATAAAAAACTGATCATGAAAACTTGCACTATACTCAACCATATACAGTATACATAATCATTTCATATACAGTAACATGGTCCCAGTGGCTGTGGGGGAGTATAGTCATGATTATATTTAAACACAGACTTCGTTTGAATCCTGTATACATAAGCAACATTTTAATTTTTCTTAACAAAACCCACTGACTTTACTATTACTCCATAGACCCCTGTTCAACTCATTCTCTTGTACTAACAAACATTATTTCTCATAGAAAGTAAAACAAATTTCATTATAGAATAATGTCAGTTTTTACCTAAAATTGGTTTGAGCAAATTTCAATGTTTAGTCTTTATACTGTGCATTGAAAACAAGAAAAAATATTGTTGTGGAAATAAAGGCAAGTAGTACTGACAGAATAAGTTCAATGAATGTATAAAATGCATTATCCAGAGTTTTACTTTAGAAACGTATTGAAAAAAAAAAAGTCAAGAAGAAAGAAGTTGTAAATGTTACTGAAAGAATAAAAACTATTCTAATCTTTCCAGGTTGAAAGAAAACAAATTGCTAACATAAATAAAAGAAAAAAGGTATGGATATCAACATACAATTTAATAAAATAAAGATTCAATATATAACTAGTCATACTAACTGCACTAACATTAGTTAGTTTACATTAGCCTATCATGTCTTAAACTTTGACAGCAAAAGAGAATGGCATCATAGCACCACAAAAAGAGAAAAAAATATGCAGACTTTATATTTGTTCCTTTGTAAAAATTACTACTGCTCTCATTTTTTTTTTTAAAAAGCACACCCCAAAATATGAGTAATTAACCTTATCATTACAGATGTGCAGTGATTATTACAAGTTGAATGTAAAGCCTTGTTTCACTGACTAATTAATGAAGATCAGCAATTTACATGTAATCTGAAGTTTTGACTTGTCTAAAGAGGAAATGTACAGATCAACTAACTTTCTAGATTTGTTTTCAGATTTACCTCCAATGAATGCAGATTATACGTTGTCCATTCCAGGAATAGGAACATACCAGTCTGCAAATTAGCACTTGAGTTTGGAGATAGAAATATCCACTTTGGTAAATGGTGAATCAATATTTGTCCAAGTGTTTGATTGCTCAGATTAATATCAAGAGTTTCCAGTGAAACCTGCTTCGACTATTTGCATTTTTGCAACATCCAAGCCAGTCAGACAGCCATATGAGTTGTATATCATGTTAAACAAGGATGATAACATCTTTTGTTTGATTTTTTTGTAGATTTTCAAATCTTCTGCCATCAATTAATTTTCCAGTTGATTTTAATTACAATAAATCTATAATAGTATCTTTACAATAATCCTTTTAAAAAAAAAGAAAATAAAAAGTCATTTCAAACTAATGTAAGAATTCATTATTCTTTTCCGAAAACAAGGTTTAGTAGAACTGTGGAACTAGATGAATAAATATCAAAGATAATGGTTCAGAATTTATTAGTAATTTTTTTTTCCTCACTAAATTTTTTTTAATCCTTTTCCACACATTTATGTTTTGTCTTCAATTAAGCTTTGAAGAGTGAAGAGTCATAACGGGTTAGCCCATTTTGTTTTGTTTTTTTATTTCTCTTTTACATTTTTTTTTTTGTTATATTTTTCGATTTACTACGATGAATAATTTTTTTTTCTATCTCTTCCATCTCCTTTGTTTTGATATACTTGTCTATATTAAAATGTAATTGAGTAGTAGCTCAATTTTAAAGCCATAATAAAATCTTGGAAGATGCTATTTCGCCAGTCCTGGTAAAATAGACAAACATGCTTTTTAGCTTATTTTAACATTTGTGGTAAAACAGACCCCAAGTCTATTTTGCTGGTAAATATTTTTTACTATCATGAAGGCAGGTAATGTTAAAAATAACAACACACAATTTATTTATTTTCACCATCAATTGTTAAGACAGTTTAAAATCTTTTTCACCATCAATTGTTAAAACACAAATTAAAATCATTTATTCGTTATCAATTATTAAAAGAAATATAGAAGTCCCTGAATATTTTAAGCACTTCAGGCATAACTGGTTCTCTTGCAAATACACTTCATACGTACCCACTGAAAACAGTCAGAGAATCCATGTTGTTCAAGTCCAGCCTTCACAGCTCACACAACCACTGCACTGACAACCTCAAATATATTCTTAGTTCTAAAACACTATTTATATTTACTAGAAAAATAGTCTTGGTGTCTATTTTACAAGGACCAGCAAAACAGCCTAATTGTAAAATTTTGTACCCCTACCCCAGTAGATTATTTAGGAAAGGAGATTATAGATAATAGGGGAAGGATTTGATAGATATAGGATATAGTAGATTATGGCTCTCCACAGATACCATTTCTTTTTAATAAGAATGAATTGTCACGAATTTGTGGAAAAAAAATAATGTGGTAGTTTCCCCCATCACATTCTCCATAGTCTTGAATTTAGAGTAATCCTTTCTCAGAGACTGTCTACTACCCAAGGCTGGAGGACCCATTCTACTCAGCTGGCAGGGGTGAGGAAGAGATGGATTCATGCCTTTTCCAAGAGCATTCACACAAATAAAGAATGCAACAAACTAGGCTGTAATTTTAACTTGGCTCACTAAATCTACTTCATGTACCAATAACCGTTACACTACCAATGCATCCAAGGAGACTGTTTACAAAAGCAGTGGCAAAAAAGTACATACTATATAGTTTTAATCATTTCATCCTGTTATACCAGAACATTACCTATTCTATTGTAATAGACTCTCCCACAGATAATAAGTAGTAGTAGCAGTGGCCAGTTGGGCTCAGTGGTGTTGAGTGAGTCAGTCGATGTCGGACATTGAAGTATCAACCATCACAACTAGATTGCTGCGTCATTAACTCTTATTTCAAGTTCCTAACGTTTTGTACGTCGGACTCTTTTAGGACAGACTTAGTGAAATACAAGCCTCCACTGTGAAAACTACTCTACAACACATTGGCGACGAAGGATTCGTTTCTCATACGGGAAAAGAAAAAGTTTTTGTTCACTCTACAACACATCCCAAGAAAGGTGATAATGCCACTAAGATGCAAGGGATTACTGGGAATGAAAGGAAGTGAGAAGACTAGTGAAAGGAAAGGACAATAAAATAACAGGATTCAAGATGACAGAAGATTGTGATTGATATTGAATTTAAATTTGTAATTTCACAGCAGGAAAGCTAATCACCATCAATTCACTATGAAGAAAGTTCACTGTAAGAAAATTTTTCATCAGGGAAAGTTCACTGTAAAAGGATAAAAGTAAAACAATTTTTTAATGGGTTATAATTTTATTATTGGAAACTTTTGGATTATATTAACAATGAACAAAGGCTAACTAAAGTCAAAACTGCACAGTACATTGATGGAGAAGCACCTAAAAAAAAGGACGAAAAGCCTATGTTAATTCTGCTGGGCAAATTCAAAGACTTTTTCTAAATTACAGTGAAGTTAACTGTATCCTTGACTTCAAGTCTTCATTATTAAATTAAGTGCATAATATCAGTTATTAGGAAACCAAGTTTTATTATTATTATATCAATTAAATTAAAATGCATAATCTTGGTTTTTATTTATTTTTGCCCTATTTTAAAAATGTCATAAATATGTTGATATAATATTAGAAGCCATTTAAAACTGCTTAATTTTTATCATTTTATGGTGAACTTTCTTTGCCATGATTTGATGTTGGTGAATGGCAAAAAAGAAAGAAACCAGAAGAGAGTTCCACAGGTAAAAAAAAAAAAAAAAAAGAAGCTATTAGAATAGAATTTAAGGTTACATTTAGATAATTCAACAGTAAAACGGTGAGACCTAGCTACCAATCTAGTGATATGCTTAAATTCTTGCAGTGAAAATATCAAAGCGGAAAGGTCATTTGAACAATTGCCATGAAAATATTTATAGAATAGACAGAGGGAAGCCATGGATATACAGGGTGTAGCAAAAATACCTCACACATTTTCTTTTCTGCACATAAAGTGTGTAAAAACTGTCCAAACATTCTAAATATCCGAGCATATTATTAGCCATTATCAAGGATTTTTTTTTTTAACTGAATCTATAGATTTTTTTATGTTTTTAGAGTGAAGGGAATTTTTTTTTTAATTTTCCAAACACAGTAAGCACATTGTGGCTGTGTTAATACTTGATATTACTGATTGTTGGATTTTTCTTTCTTTTTTTATTATTAATACATCCATTATTTTTAGTCTTTTTTTTTTTTTTTTTTTTTTTTTTTTTTACATGTGGATGAGGCTATTATATTTGTATTTTCTACAAGTATGTTGACTTTGGTAGGTTTCTGTGTAGGTATAAATGTTCTAACTGAGCTATGGTCAGAAAGGAATAATGTGAGTCTTCTTGATATGTGGTATGTCCAATTATTCATGAATTTGGTTTGATCAGGAATACAGTTCCTTAAGAAACACAAAAAAAAATCTACGCATTCAGTTAAAAATCAAAAAAACTACCTTGATTATAGCTAATAGAATAGCCAAAAGCACTTTGATATATAAAACATTGGTACAATTTGGAGGCGATAATGCTGTCATAGTAAAATGGAAAACCATGTCAGTTTTGACTCTTCATTTGTACCCTCTTACTTCTTTAAATAATGACCTACATTCATACTTATGATTGTTGTTGCATTATTTTGTTAAAGTTATTAAGCTCAAATATTTAATGATGCAATAGGGGAAATTTGCATAGGTGTTTTATAGTCGCAGAACCCGTAGGAAACTTATTCAATCCTTAATAATTATGATTCATCAGAAAATGCAGTTAGTAATAATAATCTTCACAGGTACTACTAGTATTAATATATATTTGGAATAAAGACAAACAGCTCTGAATTTAGTAATCCAAGCAAGAGGATAAATATTCTTCAAAAACATTTGTTAGCCTTCTCTCGAAAAGAAATTCTATAGAAAGATATTTGGATTTTTTATTTAATTTATTTATTCATTAAAAGCTGGATGAAATTTTACAATATCTTGAAAAGAGATTCTATAGAAAGATATTTGGATTTTTTATTTATTTATTCATTCATTAAAACCTGGGTGAAATTTTACAATATCTTCATAGTTTGAGGATTTGACTAATTTATGAAAACATCCTGCTATTCTTCACTTGTTGGAAATGCATTAGCTTGAGTTTAAAAGTGATATCAGAATATGGAAGATATCAAAATCTTTTCCAGTGTGTGTGTGTGAACATTTCCTGAATTCTTGCATGGCTAGATTCTTATTAGAGGATTATATATATATATATATATATATATATATATATATAAAACAACATAAAACTATGTTAGAATAAAGAGATGCAGATGGCTGGTTACTGACACTTGAGAAAAGGCAAATTATTGTTGCTGGCAGGCTAAGTATCAAAACAGCACTTGTATACTCACCAGTTTCTAATTTATCACAATAATGTCTGATTTCTTGGGCAATTTGTTCACATTCTTTTTTCTTACTGGAAGTATTTTCTTGATTAGCAGTTCCTGGAATAAAAATAAATTGTAAAAACATACACAAAGTTCTTGCATAAATATAATAATAAAAAAAAATAATTATATATAATAAAGAATTAATGGCTTTATTTTTAATTCGACATTTTTATTACTTTAAATGTTATTATAGTGGACACTTGTATTTGAAATAGACACCCCATTTTATTTTTGTTTTGAATAGTGTGTGTTACATCTATCAGCCTGCACATTTGAGAAAGAGAAACCTCAGTTTGATCCGGTGTGCTTTACTGACTTGGCTATGAATAGAATCATAGTTCATCAGTGCTTTATTTTTTTTCTTTCTTCCTCACTAAGATATTTTTTCTCAAAAGCCCATATTTGCTTAGTTTCGTATCTGAAATGTAAACAAAGCAATTTTTAAAGAATTAATGGATTTTTTAAATCTGACATTTGAGAATGTAGGCGTTTTCCATGACAGAAAACATCTTTAGTAAGATTTCTATTAAATATGTTGCAAGCCGATAGATGTAATACACACTGTTCAAAACAAAAATAAAAAAAATGGAGTGCCCATTTCAAATATGAGTATCCACTATAATAACATTTGACATTATATATATATATATATGCAATAAAATCTTTACCTCTGCATAGGTAACTTTTAGCATTTTCTTTCTTTTCAATTGAAACTTAGTATATTCATCATTCAATGTTAGTAACTGAACTTGATGGTACATCAACCAAACTCCTTGACAAATGTTTCATATATTTGTAATAAGTGCATGAAAAGAAATTTGTTTTGAACTGGGTCAAATAGAGAACTTAAAACTTTGGACATATGTTCAAATGGATCATGCACATGTTGAAGTGATTGTTCTCTGTAGATTGCTTTTCAAGATGTCCAGAAGTTATTCCAGATAGGAAATATTTTACTATAAAACAAACCTGCGCAAGTGACTTTCTCTTGGAATGGTATACCAAAAGTTTTGGTGTCCAGAAACACTCTTGAATTTCTCTGACAACACAATTGTTAGTTAAAGCAAATGGGTTGTATTCCTTACAAGACATCTAGATACTACCCACAATGCAATGGAATTGTTGATGAGTTGAAACTAAGAAAATGGGGTTAAGTGCATTCTCTCCTTGCAGAGAAAAATTTGAATAATTTTAAACCCTTTTTATTGCCAAGTTATCACACTATTACCTCATGCATATAGGCTAGAATGTGCATCTACTTTGATGGAGGCGTAAATGTCATGTAAACCTAACCAAGTATTATTCTAGGGATATGCAAATGGCATATTAAAAAAATAGATAATGATTTGCCACTAGAAACTGCAAATTTTGTCATACAATCTGGATTGATTGATTTGTATTTTAGAGCTTATCAACTCTTTGCAGATTAATTAAAACCAGAAAATATTTTTAGACTGCAAGAATTTTTTTTTTAGATAATGATTTACTGATACAAGTTCTACTAATTAACCCATAGTTGGGGGGATGAAGTGAATCCATACCTTTCCAGAGGTATTTACACATAAGTGAATATAATGAACCTGACTGGAATTGGAATGCAGCTCTCCGATTTCCAATTCTGAGCCATTATTCATTACACCAGCTGCATATCTACACTCACAGCACCAGATATTCCCTAGAGGTCACCCATCTAGGTACCAAACAGGATCACCATCGCTTAACTTTGTTGATCATATGTGAACCAATGTTTCAATGTGATATGGCCATAAGCCCCATACAAGTTGGAAACATCACAGTTCTCATTTCAAGGAATGCATTTGATATTTTGGCTTGAGCAAATCAAATCAGACCTCAGATTGAACCATGAAATCAATCATAGATGATTATAATGATGAAGATGTCAATTTTAAAAGTGGCACCTTTGTTTCAGGTCAATGATAATGATCAGAATCAGAATATGACAAGAAATGGCTATAAAAATCATGACAAAAAAAAAAAATACAGCATCTAACTTTAACAAGTACTCAGATGACTTGAGGTATTAAACTTATATATTTCTGGAAGATGTAAAGACATTTTAAGATAATAAGCAAGTAGAGTTATCTTTCTTAAAAAGTACATAAGACAACAACAGTGTGTGTGTGTGTGTATTCATATATTCTTTGAGTGATGAAAAGGAGGTGTAAGTTCTAAAACTTTCAAGAAAACCACATCATAACAAGTAGAAAGTGATTATTTGTACAGTAACATAAGCAATATCTGAATTTTTTAGTTTATATATTGATCTTGTAGAATAATTGGCCATAGTTAAGCGGAATTAACAAAGTTTTCAATAAAAAATGAGAGGAAGAAAAAAAAACAGTGTAAAATAATACTAAGCAAACATTATATATATATATATATATATATATATATATATATATATATAAAATGCAAGTCAAATCTATGCAAAAAGTTCACAAAGTAATAATTATAGTCATATGTGAAAAGGGATACAGTCAACTGAGTATAGTCTTCTGACTTCAAGGCAAGAAATGAAAAAAATGTAAGGGATGAGACTGAGGATTGTCCAGTTTTATTGGTTATGAAGAAATCCCAGCATGTATCTGTAGGATTTGTCTATAAATTTGGAGAGGGGGGGGATGTTCTTAGTCATTCCTACACAAATTAGAATCAACAGATCTATTTGGACTAGTTTTCTAATAGGTATAAAGTTCCAGCTATAATACTCTCTAGCCTTATTCAGAAGAGTGTTATATGCAGTAACAAATTTAAAATCAACCCCATGTTCAATTCTCTAACATGGATAGCAGAATGAAGACAACTTGCCATTGTAGAATTTAGTGATGGTTTCATTTAAAATTACCAAATTCAAATAGCAAATGTTATAGATAATCTGAAAAACAATGCACCTGGCGGCATGTCTGCACATGGGCTTCAGGTGAACAATCTTCCCACATGCACTGTATTCATCAATGTATCCTATTTACCTTCATAGTCTGAAGTCGGATACTTTTAAGAAAAGGTTAATATCTAAATGATGCTACTTTTATTCTGAGCCACTTGATAAAGGAGACTTTATGATAGGGAATAGAGAGACAAGTAAAACCATCCTTGCTGGACATTCAACAGATAAAAACAAGCATTTGTACTGGATTTTGGAGGGCAGAAAATGTTTAAATATCACTTATTTGTTAGATTCTTTAAAATGAATAAGAGAATGCTATAGAAATATTTAATAACAGGTTCCAGTATATCTCTCAAAATGACAAAAATTAACAAACTATTATACATACCTAATTTTCTAAATTATTTTAACCATTTTACCAATAGGTATTTTTCTTTTAGACCACAAGTATGGCAAAAATGAATTTCTAACACTTATAAGAAAAATAAAATTATTTTGTAACTAAGAGATTTTCCTCCAAAACTTTGTGCATTACAATAAATATATTAAACAAAATTAAAAGAAAATGTTATTAAAAAACTCAAATAAGCTGGCAATTTAAAACTTTGGCAGATTGGACGTTTAATAATTAATATCTGAACATTGAATATTTTATATTTTTGAGAATATATTTTCAAAAGTATAATCCAAATATTTAAAAACTACTCAAAATAGTTTTAAAAATTAAAAGAGTTTTGAGAATATTTCCTTTTTTAATATTTCATATTTTCTCACACAGTTATCTACATCTTTGTTGTTTTCAACATATTTTGGCTAATATGGTTTTCAGATTTCTCTATATAGATGTTGAATTAAATCTTTACACACCAATTAATACATTGTCATTTTTTTTTTTTGGCTCCATCTTCTCAATCAGAATAACACAATCAAATGTAATTACATAACTGTTCATGAAAGTCTTATTAGTCATGTTAACTTGAGAAAAGGCAAAATGAGAAAATTTATATCATTTCTTTATCAAGGAAATTGTCTTTTAATCAAATCTTAAGGATTTCAGAACTATATAGCTGGTTTCTATTGATCTGATATGGAAGGCTTTAACTGCAAAATATCAGTTTATAGAAGATGGTAAAAATATACTTGTTTGCTCATGCATTTTGTTTTTAAGGACAAACCCATAGTGTGCAGCTTCTTTTCCCTATTGTTGTTCTGTGTATATTATTTTGATCTGAATACAAAGGATTCACTTCATCCCCCAACTATGGGTTAATTAGTAGAACTTGTATCAGTAAATTATTATCTAAAAAAAAAAAAAAAAAATTCTTGCAATCTAAAGATAATTTCTAGTTAATAGGCCACTCTTTCCTTCCATACCTGCTCTGCTGAGCTTCATTTAGTTGCTTTACCTTGGATAATAGATTTGGTGTACCTCCAGTCTGATTCAGTGCCTGGTTTCTTCCTTATATTTTCTTTCATGATTGTATGGAGTGTGTTATAGAAACATATCTTTTCTTTTACAAATGACTAAGCTTTGGTATAAAGTTATGTAGTGTTACTTTGCAATGATACTTTATATCGACTGCAGAACTGATGCAGCATACATTAGAGGAAAGATGAAAAAAGAAAAAAAAAAGTCTCCAAGAATTAAAAACAATGAAGATGAGGATAATAATTTTAAAAGTGCATAAAATTAAGTATATAGCAAAAACAACAATTTAAAAAGACAAAAAAAGAAAAAAGAAAAAATTGCAACCAACATAAAATGAAACTTTCTTCTTTCCAACATGATTAGTTAAATAAAACTATGCCATGTTAATGTTAATATCAATGTTTTTTAATAGCATGACAAAAAAAAAAAAAAAAATCAAGAAGAAACATGTTTCAAATTAGGTGGAAAGCAACACTAAAATGTATTTAAAATTTTCCTCAGACAGATAGAACAGTACACAGGTTTATTTGTAAGTGTTGATTTCTATTCATTGTTAAAATGACTACAGCTATTTTTTGTAATTTAGTGAAATTACTGCCCATGTAAACAAAGAGAGAAAAAAAAAAAAAACAATAAACAAAATGAACTTTATTTGTGTAGTTTTTGAACATACATGTCAGATCATCCCACAAGTAATGTCTGAAATTTGATAGAAATAGACAGAATTGTTTTTTTACTATTCTTGTGGAGTGAGTAGCCATGGTCAAATGCAAGATAAATAACAGAAGTGTCCAACAAACAGAATTAACAAAGTTTGCAATAAAAAGAAAAAAGGAACAGAACAAAAAAAAAGGAAATAATATCAAGCAAGCAAACAATATATGCAAGGTAAATTAAGAGTAGGAAGGCAAAGAGTTCACAAACTAAGAATTGGCATTGACACACAAAAGCAAGTTCGGACAAGCGAACGTAACGTTGTGTCTTTTAGGCAAGACAAATTTAGACTGAGGTTATTTACCTCACCTTCCCACAAGGCAGAATGTGGCACAAGGCCATTTTTTATGTGGGGCAAATCCAAGCCCATAGGCTTGGTGCAAAAATTCCCTGTAGACCCCACATGGTTGGGCTTGTCCGTGACCACCGATATAGATATCGGTGGTCACGGCTTGTCTATCTCCCCAAACATGACTACCCTTCAGCATAGCCTTGTCTGGGTTGCTCTCTGCCCAAAAGCAGAGAGTTGAACAAGTCAGCCCAAACCACATAAAATGGGAGATCTGGACCGAGTCATGTCAAACTGCAAACTGGCCTATTTTATTGGCCAAGAAAAATATCCCAACATGCATTTGTGAACTCCTGCCCATAAAAAAGGGAGGGGCAAGTGTTTCGTAGTTATTCTGAAACAGATTGAAATCAACAATTCTAAAATGGCAATATACTGTAAAAGTTTGAAAAGGAAATCTTCTTTTGTACTGTATCTCTTCAGGAAGTAGACTATCATGACTGTCCCCAATTTCCTATTATTTTTGTAGCTCTTATGTTTGTCTCCTTAATATCCCTCTTTCACTACCTGTTCTACTATCCATTTATACAAGCTCATTAGGTAGTTTAATCAATGTTTCTCTTTGTTACTCTTGTTTTCAATACATTCTATGTCAGATTCTCCAAGCCCTCTTTCCTCATTATGCGTCCCAGATATTTCAGTTATCTCTTTTTAACTTTAAGTACAATTGTACTTTTTGTTCTCATTTTCCATGAAACTGCTTTGGTGCTTATATGTTTCATCTATGGTATTCTCAGTGTCCTTCTCAAAAAGCACATTTCTGTTGCCTCAAGTCTCAAGGAAATTATTCAGCAGTCACTGCCATATAGTAAGACCAATATTACATAACAGTTTATCACTCTTTTCTTTGTTTTTAACAAAATCTTCTTGTTTTTTAATATTTTATTTGGTTTTTGCTTAGATTTTGGAAGGCATTTTTCTCTATTCCAATATGCCTTAAAAGTTCCCATATTGTTAAATTTATGTACTTGCTTTATTTTGAGGTCTCCAATTTATAGATCATAGTTTGGGATGTCCCTCTTGCTAATGACCATACACACTGTCTTCTTACTATTAATAGTCCCTTTTTCTAACTTTCCTTTGCTACCTTAGCTAGAAGTTCCTTCAGTTTTCTTTCTGTATCTGCCATCAACAAGGTGTCACATTGCAGAAACAACACAGAAAATTCTTTAAATTAAGGAAATTGCTGAAAATGGTTTGAAAATCTATAAAAAAAACATATTCAGCTTAAGGAATGCACCACACTATGTGAAGTTCACCAAGTTGTGTTTAACAATGACTAAGACATTTAATATTCCACTGTCATCTGCAACAACTTGGAAAATGCATTTGCACAATTTGATAAAAAACAAATGTGAAGCAGAATAC